ACAAATACAAAAAGGTAAGCTTTTCATCTAGGGCTATGGATGAAGCTAACATGGCTACCTTTCCCAATTGTTGGAATGAGGAGGAATGATGTTGACTGTAAAATATTGAAAATTGTTATATCAATGTGGGAGTTGATGCTCATGACTACATTTTCAAACACCTTAACTATACTGCACATTCATGCACATGCACGTGTGTGCATATGCTCCCACCACAGATGTTTTCACCATCAAAATAGTTAGGGCTTAGTGCATCTACCCCGTGCACACTTCAACACCATGGACCTTGAACAAAGCATTTTCCATGCTGGTATCTTATAAAAGACCAGATTGCCTCCTGGAGCTTTTTAGGAAAGACAAACTTTCTCTTCAGGATGAAAAATAAATGTTTGCATAATGACATTATGTAAGACAGAGCCACCAGCATCACAGTCTTTTTACACCCATCTTAAAACCCGGAGTCTGGTCACGTTAACAATTTTACAACCTGAAGTCACTTAGCCTCAATTAGAAGGGGCACTTCAACATGTGTATAGTAGTCTTTGGCCCGGGTGATTTCATTGGGCTTATTTGTAGCAAGTCTTAAATAATAAGGGTTATTTAAGCTGATGATCTTGAAACATCTGACCATCTATTAGGGATGGCAAGTCTGACAAAAGACACTTATGAGATGCATTATGGGATTTTCTGGGATGGAGTGTTGTTAGAGCTTAACTTATACTAGGGACTAAAAGCCTGTACTGTTTTTTATGACCATTCCTATTTCAATGCATCCATAAGCATCGCTTGTAATGAAAGTGCAGTGCTCTATCACTGAAGTATGTTTGCATTTTAATGTGTGGGTGTAAACATGTGTGACTGCCAGAAGCATACGTGTTCCATCTATGTGGGATGATTATTTATACATAGTGTCTGCAGAGGCATTCATCTGATTACGCCTGCATGCAAATTAAGAACATTTGCCCACTACCACCTGTAAGTACTTTATAGTGTTTAACAACAACACCATTATAAATAAAAAGGCAACTGCCTCGAAACAGGGAAATGTGTTCTACGCTTTAGGGGGTTAATATCCTCTCAAAGCAGCTTCTACTCCATGATGAGACACAAAAACACTAATAAAATTCTTAAAGGTAGGTCAGAAGCTTCTTAAGACCGGATGCAACAGGTCCCATTACAGTTTGGACTACCCCTGAGGGGGCTTTATAAGTAAATATGTTCTCCATTTAATGGCAAACAACAACCTGACAAGACTGAAATAACAGATTTTAAAGCATAAGGCAGGATTAGTTAACTTGATCTATTTTGCAGCATAGGCATGACTGTATTATGGTTAGTGGAACAGCGAGTTGTCATATTGTTTTATGTATTTCCCACTTCAACACCCTTGAGTCTGCAAATATCTTCTTAGAAGGCAGCAGGTCCTCAGAAACCTGAGGAGTTCCGTTTAAAAGTGACCCAGGTCACTTTATTACCACTAAAACATACAATAATAAAAAGAGTAACTCGATTCCAGAAATGTTCTGACACGCTTGACCAGAAGGATTAGCTTGAATGTACATGATCAGGATAGCGGTATATCCCTGTGGTCTGTGTATAAGTAGGGGGTTTATTTCACATGTGGCAAGCATTGCAAAATCAAATTCTATATACTTCATTTTCAACAGAAGGAATACCAATTGATTTTCTTACAAAAGTAGATTGAATAAGCAGCAGAATGGACCCTTGCTCTTGACAGTGCACTCAGGGTTTTGCTGCTACATCCTTATTTGGTCTGGTAAGACTAGTTCAGTATCATATGGATCATTATCAGGCCACTGACTTTATGACTCTTCTCTACCCTTACATTACATTTACCAGTAGCCTGTACTTGCCACAATGTGGTACGTACATTGTTAAGCAGATGCTACATAGTTTAGCTTCAAAGCAATTTAACTTAAATTTAACCAAAAACATATTTGTATCATTTACTGAAGTATAAAGAGAGGCTTTAATTATTTCAGTTTAAGAAATGTTATGATCGAAGCATTTCTCTTCTGACTTGTGACAGTGTTTCTCTTCTACAGCATAACTCATGTACTGTAATTACTAACCAGGGAGCATTTGGATGAGCAGTTTGTACTGATCAGGCCTGTGTAGACACAAGTGCATCATGGGACACAGTGTGCGTGCAGTATACATGTGTGTGTAGGCTAGTAACCAAACAACATCTGAGCACAACCCTGGGGCATCACACAACACACACTCCTGCACAAACAGTGTTAATGAGTGTGTTTCCACTCAACACTGATTTTTTTTCCCCCCTACTGTGTTTCCACAGGGTAATTTTCCACACACACGCACGTTCATGCAAACAAGCACACCTGGAATAGACAGGTAGAGGTAGACTAAGTAGAGAACATATCTTATATACCTCATATTTTAATTTATTTATAGTAACTAAAACTTTGAAAAATACACTAAGTTTTTAAACTGTGAAGCACACACACACACACACACACACACACACACACACCCAGAGATCAGCCTTTTTCCAAATGAGCAAATAGCTTTTGCCCCAAATTTACTGGTTTTTAGTCAGAAATGTGTCCCCCAAGGTAGCCTATGATTGAAACACACACACGCACACACAGGTGCTTTGTCTGGAGATATCTGGCTTTTTCCTGCAGGTGGTTCATTCTGAAGTAGGCCAGCTTCTCTGAAGTCGTTAGCCAAGTAGCTTTCGCTCCGCATTACTTTAGGTTTTTTATTTTTGGTGACTCAGGTTCGGTCTCAGACTGTGGTGAGGACTACGCTGAATAAGCATTTCTGTTAGGTCAGTTTACTGTGACAAATCTTTCCACCGCTTGTTCTCATGGTTTCTACTTTTACTTGCTGTGCACCTGGACGCACACACACCCAGACAACTGGCAAACTGTCGCACTGTCTGTTCAGTGAGAGCAAAAGTCTGGGATTTTCAGACTCACGCACCATTATAAATATATGTTCTGTGAGTGTGTGCTTTTCAAATCCTTCTGAGGAAATGTGGACAACAAGTTATAAAAGCACCTAAAAGTACAGTTCCATGACAACGTTGCAAACGGCTTCTCTTGGTGAAGACAGTGTAAGTGGGCCAAATCTCTAGAACTTTCAGTTGAGGTTTGTTTTCCCTTTGGTAGCTGCGTGACTCTAAGGTCTGTGAGTTGGTCGATCCATCACTTGTGTCCTGATTTAAAATAATTAAACAACTACTGGATGGCAGTCGTAGTCTCCAGAGGAAGATCCCTATGGATAAATGCTCTGACTTTTTATACTGGCATTTTTGGCTTTAGTGAACTACCTTGGTAACTCTTGGAAAGACTGGGATGGTTCACACACACACATGCACTTTGGTGATCCTCTGAGTTTCCACTGCACGCTGTCATCAGTTCAAAGCTTTTCAAACCTTAGATTTTGTGTAAATTAGAAAATGTTAGCATGTTAAATATGCTATTCAGCTATGCCAAACAAAGATGATGAATTAAGCAAGCATCATTGCGCCAACACATTGACATGTTAGCATGCTGATTTTAGCATTTGCATCAAAGCACAGCTATGCCTGACTACAGCCTCACAGAGCTCCTAACTCGTCTGGAGACTTGTGTCAAGAATCGTTTTGAACTGAAAGAACAACTGAAACTAGACGTATAACCGACTGTTTTGTGTAGTTTGAACACATTTGAAGAATCTGCCTTCCTTGGGAAAAGTTCTCTACTTCACAGGAAATAGCGCGCTTATTTTATAACCTATTTTTTTCATGGGGACACTTTGTGGTGGACCTGAAAATGTTCAATCCAGTGGTATTATGACACTGGCAGACAAGGAAACTGGGCAGGATAAGTGGCACATTGAACTAGTTTCCATGGAATATGATAAATTTTCCCAACCATAATTGAAAAAAAACTTACTGCATGTTATTAGGATAATTGAAAGGATAACAAGACACAGTTCTAGGCCGCAGAGGAAACCGAAAAATGAGGCCACTATCTGCATTCAGTGCCAGTAATGCCATAAACAGCGTTCAAAAGCATTTTGTCAAAAATTAAATCCAGTATTGGAGTTCAAACCTTTGTATCCATTACGAAATTAAATTAGATTTAGCTATGAGTACAGTTGAGTAAAGGCAGAAATTATTATTTGTGAGCAGGTTTTGAGCTATAACCTCAGCTAGTGAGGAATAGATAGACAGATAGATAGATAGATAGAGAGGCTTCACTGTTTATCACATGGTCACTTTCACACAAAGAGAACAGACTATTTCTCACACTTGGTATGTGTGCTTTTAAGGCCTCGGGGGACTTATTCAATTTGGTGCGATTTGGACACATGATGCGTTCAAAATTAATAAACTTTAAATAAACAAACTCATCATCTGTTCATGACAACAGCTATGAAAAGGGATTCTCCAGTTCAAGATGAGCTTCACTGAGCTTTCAATAAACCTGTGAACAGCTCTTTGTGCAGCAGCGGTGGCGCGGCTTCAGGCTGGGTCCAATGGCAAGCGTCGCGCCAATTTACTACTATTGCACTCTACGAACATGTGTGCGAATGGATGAATGGCAATACACTGTAGTGAAAAGCGCTTTGAGTGGTAGCGAAGACTCGAAAAGCTCAATATGAATACAGACCATTTAGACATCTTTACAAGCAGAGACATTTGCAGCAGGAAAAAGAAATGATATCTCTGCAATAGAGTGAATGAGTTAGAGAGACACATTACTTTGATTGCTGAGTCATTTTAACAGCACAAAACATTACTGGTAAAAACACCATGCACAATTAAACGACCCAATTGTTGCTATTTTCCACTTACCACTGTGACATCTGTGTGTGTGTGTGTGTGTTTACTTGCTGCAGCTCAATTGCTGCAGATCACTTTTAAAGTTTGACAAAGAAAGCTGCAACCATCAGCACAGTCCAAACAAACAACCCATTCCAATATGACACAGTAGATTAACGAAAAGTAAAAGCCACCTTCTTACCTTCGCACGGACAGAATACGTCTCCATCCGAAGGGTGGAGGGTCAAACTCGTGGATGAAAGGTCCTTTTAGCTCCAGTGCAGCGAGGCTCCAGGTGGACGCGTGGTCAGGTGATCCCACAGTCATTGGCAGCAGCTGGGGGAGCAGAGCCAGCATCCGCCGCTCGAGCAAAGCTGACGCTAGCTGTCATGCTAGCAGAAGAAGTTTTTTTTGTTTTGCTTCTTTGTTGAAAAACCCGGAAATTACCAGCCTTGTAGAGCCCGTAGGCAAACAATGTACAATCAATATATTAAAATAAGATAACGTCGTTAGCGCACAAGTCTTCTTCTTCTTCTTCTTCTTCCACATATTTTCATGTTCGCTCCTTGCGCGCTCCCAACAGGAACAGTTGTCAAAGCACCGTATTCCACAGCGCCCAGCAGTGGCCTGGTGATGAAGTGCAGGCTTTGTCACTCATTCATATGCTGCTAAGTCCTGGTGGAAAACATGGTCATTTTACTCCAAGTATCTCTGTAGTAATATTTATAATGACTTGTTTTAATGGTTGAACAACAAATTGTTAAAAATACACAAAAGGATGGGCAGAAATTATTATAATAGAGATAAAAGAACAATAATAATAGGTGACACCCCAAATAAATTCAGGCATGTGTTCTCTGAAAAAAGCTGAGATTCTTGAAGATGACAAATATTGAAGAGAGCTGCATCAGAGGTATTCGGTGGAGGAACAGTGAGCTTTTAGACCTCGTGAATACTTGTGGTGACACATACAAAACTTGGGGGGGGGGGTCATTTCATAACCGGTCCCTGTTTGAAAGAATATCAAGAGAAAAACTAAACCGCTAACGCTCATATCTGTGGCCTCCAAGTTTATTACCGACGAAGAGAACATTTCCATAGTCCATGCATGAACTTGAACCCTGGTGGTGAGGGACCACAGCCTGTTGCTACAACCCGAAAATGAATATGTCAAGACTACAAGATGTTAAATAAACACACTGAACACACTGAAAGAACAACAGTCACTATGAGTGTGATGTGTTTATATCATTGATACATTAGGGTTTTTCTTCATAAACATTATTTATGTGTGCAAACTCCAGCTATTTATTTGATCCTGCTGCTGGTGATTCTCGTCATTTTAATTGCTGATAGTGATGCTCAGTGAAAAATGAAAGTGAGAAGCGTGTGACCTAAATGTTTCCTACTTTACTTTTTGCAAATAAAAAGTACAAAATATGTATAGCATCAGGTTTGAAAATACAAGTGTTGTTGATGACTCCAAAGCAGTTGAAATTATCAATCTTACTTTGATCATTTACTCTTACAGTTCTGCCCGTCAGTATTAATTTATTTTGGTGTGTGTGCTCATCTAAGTACATTTCAAAGGGCTACAGCTGTACCGACATCTCTTAGCGATACACCTCCAGTAAATCCTTGCTCTAAAAACCACGGTTGCCATCGCAAATCTTGAGTGTTGGTCCCTTCCCTCTTCTCTCAACGCACGGTTACGTTCTCCTCAGAAAACATTCAGTCACTCAACCCTGTTCCAGGCGAGCTAGGGCAGGAATCATAGTGACAGCTCCTCTGGGTCATTACCTAACAAAACTCAGAGTTCGGAGTAAGGTCGCTGGCAAACAATGCAGTAAAATCCATGTGTAAATCTATAAGCAAACTGATAGATGCCTTCCAGATGGTAACATCTACTGTAAGGCTATTTTCTGCTGAGTTATTGGAGCTGTTATGACTGCAGAGACAGCCATAAATCTGGACAGTAATTGAGATCAGGACAAACATCTTTCATGCGAGATAGATGAACGGGGAAGTGCAAGCATTCCCAGGCATGAAGCAAAAAGCCAAAGTTCTCTGGGGGAAAAGTGATAGGAAGAAGGGCATTAAACTCAGATCTGTATTATTTGTGGTTCAAACCCAAATGGAATGTGCAGCTTTTTGGGAAAATGATGTTGTAGTCAACATAAATTTAAAGGTTTGGCGTTAAAACTCAAAAGTTTCAGAAAATGGAAATTGCAAGTTCACAAGAAAAACTACCTCTGCGATGCTGACCTCTCCAAGGTTCCACCCGAGATGATCAGAATGTCCTCTCATTTGATTTCATAATAAAATTTCTCTCTATGCTCCCTGAGCTAAAATCTCACATCTACCATTTAACGTTTTCAAGGTGAAGCAAACTTTCTTTCCAGCTGGAGCTCTGAATTTGTTCTTGTTTTTTAATTGAATTTTTATTTTCTCCGCCATTCCATGTGCCGAAGCCAACTTGGGCAAGACTGAACCTCTGGACCCCACTGCTGTGCTGGCAGTGTTTATGAGTGATGATAGAGAAAGTGCTGCGCATTAATGCGGTGAATGAATGTGTGTGTGAATGGGTTAATGATAAAACTCTACTGTACAGCACTTGGTCATCAAGACTAGAAAACCTTTGTACAAATACAAACCCTTTACTTGTCTGATTTTCCAGACTGAGGGTTTTCCTCATCTGGCTCTTGCTTTTCCCTTCAGCATCCAGAGTTCGCAGCAGTGTCAGCTCCCTTAGCAATAATTACTTACTTCCCAGTTGACCTCTGACATCTCCACCCCCCCGTGGGAGATGCACTACTGTAGATGACATGTCAATCTAGCTATATGAATGGGGAGGCGATACGGCTGAGATGGCAAATCTTCTCCTCATCAAAATACCTCTGACTCCAGGCTCATCTGCATAACGCTCATCAAGAAGCTAAGAGGCCATGCTAATGCGTGATTATGTTTCAGCCGGGTGCCTGTTATCGTGCACTATTCATCCTCTGTGGGGGTGGAGAGGCAATCAATTACTACATCACTCAAAGACTCCGACTGTGAAGAGGAAAGTTCAGTTCAGATGTGAATGTGTATGTGAACATATACTGACTATTTTTAAACCGGGTATTGAGGTTTCATTTTTGAATGCAGAACCCAATGTGGTGTCACCGTCGCTTTCCAGATTGTGGCAATGTGTCTCCCCGGCGTATCCCAGCATGCACTGGATAAAAGGCAAGATTGGAAATCAGCTGAATTAGTTGTACTCTTCACATGAGAGGCTTATGAGCCATCACCACTCCAACTCTCCATGCACCAATTTCTTTATCTCTCGACAGTTACACAGTTAAACATCCACACCACTACAAAACAACTGCTAGGTTGTTGGGAGTTAACATCTCTGTATGAACACATTTAAACATTTACTCAGGAAATTGCATTTTAGTCTGGGATTTTGAGCTTCAGCCCCGACCCCTGCGTGCATCCTCGGCGTTCAGACCCTCCCAGGCTGCCGTGCGCTCTGCACCAAGAAAACATTGTTTGCCGGCACAGACAGTTACTGTGTTCCAGTCAGTAGATTGGTGCAAACAGTTGAGGGCTTAAAGGACAGATTATATGATTTCATAGCAACACTTCCTTTCTAGCTGAAAGCGAACAGCTCTGTCGCTCTCGCGCTCCCCTTGTGAGATTTATTCCTGTTGTCCCCGCTCTGCGCTGACGCTGTGCAGACACACGTCTGTGTTTCCTCAAACATTCACTGGATGAAGGGGAGCCATTAAACGTAGCCCTGCTCGCAAGCAGCCCTGTTGTCGGGATCCGAGGTGATGCTAAAAAGAAGGCTTTTATCTCCTTGACTGCATTTTTTCTCGGCATAATGCCTCTGGCAGGGCCGACTTAATGCTGGATTGTGCTGCTGAGTTGTCAAAACTTAAAGCTGTTCAGCTCCAGCTTGAATCCATAAAGTGCCAATGTGTAGAATGTTTTTGGTTTCATCGGGGAAAAAGGTTTTCTGTTATCAGCACAAAAAGGAGCAAAGTTTTAACATTTGTAAATGTTTCATTTTGACCACATATCCGAGCATAGTGAGCTGACGTGAGCCGTGTGGTTCAAGTGCAGCTGATGTCCCGCTCGGGTTTTTTATTTCCTTCCCTCGTGTTTCAGACTTGTTTACTGAGCGGCTCCAGACGGACAGGCCCGAGGGCAAAGTCCACGGACACACAGTGAAGAATGAGCAGAAATGTGCCCACTCCATTTCTCCCTCCATGTTTGTGTGTGTGTGTGTGAGACAGAAAGCGAGTGTATGTGTGCTCTGGATTCAGATGTGTGTGCATGCCTGTCTGAATTTGATACACTACCCCAGGCACATTAATGCGTTACATAATGCATGAGTGTGTGCGATGTGTTTGTATATGCATTTGATACAGTATTTTGTGATTTGAATATCCCGTGACCACCGACATGTACTGTATGAATATGCACAGTGTGTGTGGATGCATCTATATGTATATACAGTATATGTGCATTCATTTGATAAGGATTCTCCTTCTATGTAGTTTTTATTTTCTGTTACATTAGAGTATTTTTTGTGATTGAAATGACAATGAGTCTTGAATCTTAAAGTGAGTGCATCTGTAGAAATGACTATAGATTTGAATAAACTGAGCTTTGATAACAATCCTGCACAAACACTATTCATTCCAGCAGCTGTTAGAGCATTACCAGTAGGACATCTAAAAAATATATAGAATGTCATAAAGGTTATCTATCGATCTCAATATTCACTGCCACTAGGTGTCGCATTTTCACCAGCATCTGGGACCAAAACATTAGTCAACCCCTCCCCTTTCCTTTCGTATTCTTAATTATGTGTTAATTAAACACGCTATGGGTTCGAAGCCCAGTGAAGGCGGCCATGAAACACACAAGCAGAACAAAATGAGCCTTTTCTTGTTAAATGGAACTGTCACATCTAATACGCAGGTTGGTGCTCCCGTCACTGTCTGATCCGCCGTTTGAAACCCTTTGGGAAATATTACATTACATGTAAAGATGGATGATGGCTCACAAAACTGAAGCAGAAGCCTTTCAATCGCCCCCCTGGTGGCCGATTGCAATACAGGTCATAAACGCAGCCTCCTTTATGTTAGCAGATGAGTCATGGACCGAACAAGTAAGACGATGTACATGTTTTTTCTCAAAGGTGGTTCAGTCATCTTTGGATGCTCTAAGTACCTGCACACACACACAGGCACAAACACACCACACAAATAGTCTCTGGCAAGTCCATCAGAAAAAAGATTCTCTGATCTGACAACAGGCGACGAATAGAATACGAGGAGGGGCTTGTGTGTTAGAGGGTGGTACGTTTAAACCCAGTTCTATGTCCTCACCACATTTATAGGTGGACTGTAGCAACACTGTAAAGGTTATTATCCTTTATGGTCAGTGAGTGACAGAAGCGGAGGTGCGTGGTTACAGAGGGATAATGTGAGTGGTACAGACGAGTTGTGACCAGCACGGCTCTGAAACACATCAAGAACTTCAGGAGTCAAAGAGCCTGAGGGACGGTGTGTGTGTGTGTGTGTGTGTGTGTGTNGTGTGTGTGTGTGTGTGTGTGTGTGTGTGTGTGTGTGTGTGTGTGTGTGTGTGTGTGTGTGTGTGTGTGTGTTCAGTGGGGAGTGCGAATACCTAAGATTTTATTTGTGGAAGAGAACTTGTGCTTCACATTCTAAAGCATCTGGGGATTTCAAAGATAACACGACATCATGCAAATTGATTTAAAACTGATAATCTATAGATTATTCAAAATAGATTTTTACTAAAGTGATTCACACTATTCCTGTGTAATGTTTTCTACTGTGCACCTATGATATAGATGAATTACACAATTTCAATCTTGTCAACACAACCTGAGATTACAGCAAGTCACTCACTTTGGTCAAAAATGAATTAAACCGCTGATTGCGATGGTATTTGGAACATTCACAGTCCCCAGAGGACGATTCCCAACTGACTTTGGTGACCCTGACTTTTCCTTTAGCGCCACCAATGGGTCAAATTTCTTGTTTATGCACTGAATTATCTGAACATCTGCTAGATCAGGGCTCACCAACCTGTCAATCTAAGCAGAGTTCGAAAGTGTTTCCATTGAAAGGCAATTTGTTGGTTAAAATACAGTTCTGGAGACTTTTATCATGAACAAGTAGATACATAGATAGATGGATGGATAGATAGATAGATAGATAGATGTGTTTTCGTTCTCAGTCTCACCATTGGACGGGAGGCTCTGTTGTCTCTGATTGGCTCTTTGTGCTGTTGGGAGCGATGGAAGGCTCAGAGGGGGTTGGGGGTGCTGCTGGTGGGCTACCCCCGGGGGCGACCAGCCACCATCTGCTGGTAAGGTAACACCACCGACGGGGCCGCGTGTCCAGCTGGGAGGACACTGGAGACCAGCAGCAGACACAGAGACTGAAAGCCATTAGACTTCATCAATAAAAAGCTCCCGAGCCCCTCTTGCTATATATGTGATTCACAGAAAATTGACAAGTGAATTACTGTTAGGGTTTGTTGTGGATTTTTATTTGGACTTAGATGTTTAATTACAGCTTGATGAATAAGTGGGAGAATCTACCCTCTCAAAAGAATTCCTTCAATTCCCCCCATTTATATATCATCAAGCTGACAGAGATGATCATTTGTGCTAATATTTTAAATTCAAGAAATGATTTGACGTCTAAAAAAAGTCTAATTTCTCACAGTTTATATCTGCCTTGTTTGTGTCTACTACTTATTAGAGTGTGAGAAGCTATCTTCATCTTTCTGGGAAAGTTATCCCTGCAGATGCCAAGGTTAAAAGGTCTACTTTGTAGCTGCTATCAATCAGTTTTGTATAAACCAAACATCTAAATAGAAATGAATGAAAAACCTCTCTGCAGATGATAAATGTGCATCATACAGCCAAGAGAAGTCATTGTGCACAAACTCAATGAGTAATGCTTTTTGCTACGTAGGGTATTTGCATGAGATCCTTCAATTTATATTCTTAGTCTCAGTTCTGGCTTAAGTGTAATACTATAACCTTGATAAAACATCCATTGGGTTCATGTTGAGGTCACTTTTGGTAAATTATATATTTTCAACCTGCTAATGTGTCTTCAAAAAGAATCCAACAACCCCTCAAAACAGTAAACTCTAAAATCCCTACACTAGACTTGAGTTCCGCTATCTGCCCTGAACCCAGTGGATCCTGAAAGGACTGAAGTTAAGATCTCTAGTCAGATTCCAGTCTCACGTTTTGGCAGGACCAGTCATGTTCAGCAGGGTGGGGTTTTGAACATCTCGGGTTCAAGCTCTTCTGGTTTGGGTCTCAGTTTTAAGCTGATGGAAAGATCCCCCCAACTTTTCTTGCAAACTTCAAATATTGTTCAACACATTTTCAAGTTTAGCTCTTGGAACATTCCCAGAAGGGCCCAACATACTCGTCAATGAAGGTCAACAAACATGGTCAGGCAACTAATAGAAACAGAAATACAGTATATTTTAGACCACAACTAATGCCCATGGGGAATGTGGGAACATCTTCTGAACCTTCCCAGAACCTTTCCCTGAAGGTTCTTCATATTTGTTTTGTGGAGACTTAGTATTTTGGCTGCTTTATGGTATTTTTAAATTCAATGGAGACAAGGGTGGAACGAGAGACAGTTCTGATAGAAGCTGTCAAAACGGAGATTCCGACACAGATGTGTGTGTACCATGGTGAATGTATCACAAAATATTCACATTGATTGTGTACTCCATCAATTTCACACATTAGCTTGGATATGAGCAGTACTAGAGACACTGGTGTGAAAACGTCTGTATAATGTCAACTGTGGCTCTACCGGAGCTCTGTCAAGTGTAAAATATACCCCGATGAGGTCATGAAGTGATGTCACCACTTGGGTCACCTAAGGGTCACATCCAGATCTGCGTCGTAGCTACACCGTAAGTACACACGTAGCCTACACATGGGGCCCAGGCTGTTGTGAGCATTCACACATACAATTATTAAAATATTAATACATTCTCTGGCGTGTCTGTTTACTCCAGGACAATAGAGTGTTATCATATTTGAGCTGGAGCTGATAGATGTTGAAGAGCAATTACTTTTTCTTAAAGAACTGCAATGAAGAAGAGGAGGACGTATAGGGGGGAGATGGTCTGAATGACATTTAAATCGAGGAAGGCGAAGCAGGAGATTGTGGAAATACTATCTTCCGGAAATGCGATGCTACCAAGCGGAACCAATCACAGCTCTTGTGGTCTGTCGCCTCTACATTTTTGGGGAGGTGCATGTTTTGGGACATTTGCTATTTTATAAGGGGGCATCTTTGGGCTCACATCCATTTTGTTTCGGCCCCGAGACGAGCATAAATGCTGCACCATTGTCTGAGGTGGCCCACATCCCTATTCCATCGACCTATAACCTCACTCCCCAACCCCTGGAAACACACTTGAACAGCCTATGCAAAATCAGACTTTCACTTTTCCACATTTTTATTTTAATCACCAGGAATCCACTGGTCCATCCACTGTGTTCCTTTTACTAATCGAGCGGCACAAATCTATTTCTATGTCAGGCCAACAAAAGCGAAAAAACAAGTCAGACTACAAAATACTTCTCCAGTCTTTAAATATCACCAGGCCATATTCCCACATGGGCCTTACCATTCCTGTTGGCTTTTAGTTTTCCAGGAATGTTTCTATAATAAGAATGATACTTTATGGATATCCCACGTTGTTGTTAGGAACGAATGGATGTTTTGTCCATCTCTGGCGTCCCTTATCATAACAGTGTGACAGAGCGGGTGATCCTCTCTCTCACTCTCTCTCTCTCCCTCCCTCTACTACTCACAACAGTCGCTTCACCAAAGAGGAAGCGCGCAGTCACCGCTTTATGATCCGCGTGCACCGACCGAGCAGTCCGCCAGCCCCAACAGCTCTCTCTCTCTCTCTCTCTGTCTCTACCTCTCTCTCTCTCTCTGCCTCTGCCTCTCTCTGTCTCCCTTTTTCTCGGTTTCTCCGGACGCACTCTCCGGCACAGGGGTTTTACGCGCGCGCACCGGGGGCTTCATGTAGACTGTAACCGGAGCGCACGGTGGGAGACTTGTCGTCGGCTTCCTTTGCGCCATGGAGGATTGCTGCTCCCCAGAAAGCGAGAAGATGGAAGCGTGGCTGGACGACCACTTGGAGTTCACCCACTCCTACTTCATCAGAAAGGCGTCAAGGTAAACGCGGAGGTGGAGGTGGAGGAGGGCTGCACATTAAAACCTGAATCACTGTGTTTATCTGCAGAAGGTGAGCGTGTGCTTTCCTGAGCAGGGGGGCTTCCTCTGCAAAATAAAAAACAAAAACTCAGTTTGCTTTTGTGTGCAGCCCAGCAGCCAACCAGGAGCAGGTTAATTTCCTCTGTCAGTGTTGGATTGTTTGTGTTATAGGTATCACTTTACCTCAGGAAGTGTCTGTGGACAGCCTGTGCAGTGAAGATTGGTAGATGGGGGGGGATCTGTCAGGTCCATGATGACCTGGAAAAAGCTCCTGTCCAAGCTCAGGTGGGCTGCTGGCCCACTCCCACCATAAACACCCCGCTCTCCTGTCCTGTCCGCCCGCCGCCACTTCCTCACGGCTCGACTCTCTATTTCATTTCACCTTCCACTTAACAATCAGTAACAGCCCTGCGAGTTGCACAGGGCCCTTTAAACATTAACTTTTACTGCCGTTTAATTCACAGCTTTCCGTCGGATAGGTCCTTGGTAGTAATTATACAAGCCCACCCCTCTACACAAAGATGCCTGTGCCATAAATGGAATTGCTTTTTCTTCTGTTGCGGCCTCCTTCGTTTCAGACCTCAGAAATTGTGCCATTTCATAACCACATCAGACTTTTCTCGGGCAGAAGCAGCTATATAAGGTGTGTTATTTTGGTGGCAGGAGGCATATCAGCCTGGCAGCACTTCATCAGGACACTCCAGGTCTGTTTGTTTTAGGGACAAACCCCTTCAGACCCCATTATCCACTTAAGCCACCATGGCAACTTGAATCATTTTTCTTTGTATCTGACAACGGCAGAAACAAGCTATTCCAATCACATCTCCGTCTTGAGAAATTTTCCATAAAAAGCATTGTCTTCCTCTTGCTGTGTTACGAAAGCGGGAAAAGTTGATAGGTGTGTCATAAGAGGGTCGCGCACATCAACCAGGCTGCCGTTCTGGTGGATTTTTTCTTAGAGAGGTATTGATTCAGCCACACCACCCCCTGATACATTAGGGTCAGCTCTGCAGGGAGGCTCAGTGGGGGATCGGGTAAGGAGGACTCAACCTGACGGGTTCTGACACACTGCATTCAGATAACAGCCCATTCTCTGCGGCTCTCAGAGCCTTGCAGCGTCCTCTCCAGGATTTTGCCCCCTCGCCTCTGGTGAACGGAGCCTTCGACTGGCATGAAAACAAACCGTAACAAGTGATGTGACCTTCGTGAAGCAGCGACGAGTGTGCTTGAAATGTATGATGGGTCGTCGGGGTTGAGCAGACAATGTGTTGGCTGATTAAGGAGCTTCACTGTGATCACATCCAATTTAGCGTTCACACACAAACACTCTCACATTAGATCTGTTCCAGTAAATATCCGTGTTAGACACATGGAGGGGCAACGGCACACACACCGGCTGCAGGAAATATAATATATTTGATTTTACCTGTGGATGTACGCTCCCAACCATCACCGGTTGTCAGGAGCTGTTGTTGATGCGCGAAAGAATGACATCACAAATCCCAGTGGCCGAACTAAGTTTTCTCTGTAGGGTGCCTCAGAAAGGAAACCCTGTAGCAGGAAGTCTCCAGAGGTTTCAGGAGAGAGGTGGTGCCTGGGTAGAGGATGCAGGAGGACAAAATATATAATTTCCAGTGTGAGGATCACATGTTTTTGTTTACAGTACATCAACGCATCATCAAAAACTCTCAGATGTCGTTGACATCTTCGTCTGTGTCTTTTTCATCCTGACATGTTTGTATTGTTTTTGTAATTTCAGTTTTGCATCTGTTGGTCGTTAGAAACATCATCAATGCATCCACTCGCTCGCAGTTAATCCTCCAGATAACATCTTGCTATTTTCAGTGTGGGCTCATTTGGACACTCTCTGGAATTTTTACTAGGGGTTAGGGTTAGGCAGAAAAACTAGGAGATTGTCAGGAGCCTCTGCATTTTTCACATACAGCCCCTCCGCATAATTTCAGGAGATTATCCGGAGTTTAGTACATGTCTGAAAGCAGCTTTAAAGACAGGGTGAAGAGTTTGACGCTCGGAGGTAAAAGGAGCCGGTTGAGGCCATTTTATCATGATTGTCCAGAGGACTTTCCATTAGAGTTTTGCACATTCAACCGACAGGTTTCAGATTATGTATCCCATGTGGTTTAGGAACTCTTAGAGTTCACCCAGGAGGAGCTATCAAACATTACAGGGGAGAGGGACCGATTTGCTTAATCTGCTTCCACCGCAATTTGATGGATGAACGGAGGGATGGATGGATGATGGGTGAATGAATAGATCTATTTTTTTTTTTCTAATTACCAGTCGTGAAATTCTCAGTTGCATTATGTTTATGCCCATATTTGGTGTTCTCTTGTGATAATGCCAAAAGCTGTTGTCATTTGCATCTGCAATTTCACAAACACAACAGAACATTGAATGAACTTTTAAATCAAAAACACGTTCTGACTTTTGCATTCATAAGCAATAAATTTTACCACAGCGCTGACTAATTATTCCAAGGTGGTCAGCTGTCGATGTCTCATGCTCATTTCTGGCTCTACGGTTTTATTTCTTTGAATGATTCATAGAAAGTCCTTGTTTTTATTATCTCAAACCGCAGCCCCTCAGTTGAACTTCTGACTGGGGGCAGGGTCATACATACATGAATAAGAAGAGTATATCAGGGATCAAATTTCACCAACATTGAACTCCACACAAAGTCATGCAGCAGATTTGCTTCGTGAGAGGAAGCAAATGTTGTAGTCGCCCTCTCGCTCACACAGATTGGAAGTGATCGAGAGGCAAAGGTTCACCACTGATTCTCCTCCTTTGTGTGATTGTTCACTGAAACAGGATACTTTAGCTCAGGCCTTCTTAAGAGGACTCCTTAAAAACCCATCTTCTTCTGATTCAGGTGTAGAAGCTCTGAAAGAAAACTCAAACTGTGAAACTAAGTTAAAAAAAATCCAATTGATTGAAAACAGGAACTTTTCAACTCATAGTTACATGTTGGAGTCTGAATCTGACCCAGAATATGAGTGTTGACAGCACGATCGTCCGCAGCAACGGAGAGATTACAGCAGGACATCTGTTCAAATATTACGCCTATTGATTGAGTCATATAATCCTATAAGAACAATTCTGTATATGATGACGCTTACAGTTGTGAGTGCAGACTGGAGTGGAAAATGTCTGCTGTCAGGGAACACACCAAGAATGAGCTGTGCTCGGAGCAGATAACTGCATTAAGAAAAAGAAAATAGCAGAGGAGCAGAAAAGGAGCAGAACGGTCGGAGCAGCATGACACTGAACATTTCAGCACAGGTCACATATTAAGATAGTTAGACTGAGTGAGAGATCAAAATCGAACCCGTTGCCGCCTGTCACTGTCATGACGAGTCTTTTTTGACTACAATTTGTGCCATTGACATCAGTGTGTGAGCCAGAAAAACGATGTGCTCATCCGAAAACATTTATTTTGATGATCCATTTGTGTCAATCAATCATTTCATCCAAATTTGGCCTTTTCAGTGCAAAGTGCAGCCAAATAACCAGAAAAAAGGCTTTCAGGTGGATGTCTGGTTTTGTTTTGGTACAGATGATAATTTGCATTTATGAGGGATTTTGGGGGTCAACTCCTGAGACCACTGCATCTTTCTGTGTAGGTGGAAATCGTCGTTATGTAAAGGCTCATAGTATTGAGGTGTGGTAGAAATACAGTGTCTCCTGATGCTGGTCGTCAAAGCTTCTCATACTGTTTCTTCTCCACTTGGACAGGGAGATGGTGAATGCCTGGTTCGCTGAGCGCGTCCACTCCATCCAGCCATCTGCCTCCAAAGAAAATCCAGCTCAGCAGCGGCCCAACCAGTCGTCCACAGACTCTGGTCCCCCCTCTGCCTCCACCATCCTCCCACCTGCGCTCAGCCTCTTGGACAATCGCTGCCCTTCCCCGGCCCCTAGCCCGGCCCCCGGTACCCCGACCCGCAAAATCTCCGCTTCAGAGTTCGACCGCCCGCTCAGACCCATCGTTGTTAAGGACTCTGAGGGCTCTCTGAGGTTTCTGAGCGACACTGACCGTGAAACTGTCCCCCTCCGAGGCTCGGTGATGGGTGAGGGTGGTGTTGTTGGGGGTGGTGGTAACGGAGGCGGATGCAGCGGGGCAGGTAGCGTCAGGGGGGGCGACCGCTGCGCCAGGCTGCTGGAGCTGGTGAAGGACGTGTCGAGTCATCTGGATGTGACAGCACTCTGCCACAAGATCTTCCTCCACATCAACGAGCTGATCGCTGCAGACCGCTACTCGCTGTTCCTGGTAGGACTGAAGGGGAAGGGGCTGGGAGGGGGTCAGACTGAAATTCTGGAGCACTATGATCAGCCAGACAAGTGAAACATAGGTCACTACAGTATATCTGTATGCTGCTGATGTGACAAGCTCCTGCGTGAAATTGATTAGACCATTTTTGCAGACTAATCAGTTTGTCCTGGATAGATTTCTGCCTTTAAATAATATATTATGCTACGTGCAAAATGTCTTTGTAATATTAAACCGGATTAGGGATTAGCTTGACCGAAAATGTTAATATTTTTCTCCTCAAACTCTCCTCACGTTGCTATCTCTCAGACTGACTGAGAGATAAAATTGAACCCGTTGCTGCCTGTCATTGTCATTACGATTAATTTAGTAGAATTTGTGCCATTGTGCCACTGAAAACAAGGTTTAAAATAAAACCATCATCTAAAAGAGGATAAAAAGTTGTGAAGAACTGCCGAGTTTGGTTATAATTTGACGTTGGTTGTCATTATGAGTGAAAACCTCCACATTACAGTCATTCGGTGTATTTTTCTTCTAAAAAAAAAAAAATTGACAGTTGCAGCTTTAAAGTGTTTTTCTGCAAACATTGTTTTGCATGTTCACATTAAAAATCACAAAAATGTATATTTTACCATATAGAGAATATGATTTAAGTTTTTTTCTGTAGGCTCAAAAGCTGAGAGTAACTGCAGATCAGTGCAGCTTTAATTTTCTTTGTATTATTTTTCTCTGTTTTGTAAGTGCAGTAAACTCCTCCCCCTTATAGTTGAATTAGATGTATTGGAGCAAATACTGCTCTTTCTGGATCATTAACTTGTCTGTTTCCCTGAGATGAAATTCTTTTCTTCTTGCCTCTCCTGTAATTGTAGTGGAGGCCAACAGTAAGGGTTTTGAATCAGCCGTGTGACCCTGTGTGTGACCTGTATCCCAGGTGGGTGAGGACAGCTCCAACAGAAAGTTCTTGGTCAGCCGGCTGTTCGACGTGGCCGAGGGATCCACACTGGAGGAATCCTCCAGTAATTGCATCCGTCTGGAGTGGAACAAGGGCATCATAGGACACGTCGCCGCAACGGGTCAGCCACTCAGCATCAAGAACGCGTACGAGGTGAGCATTCCACACCGCTTTGTCTTCCTGCCTTCACATCTTCACATTTCCAGACACAGGCTTCTCATGAAGTGGTTTTACTGTGTGTGCATTTGTGCACATTTGCGTGTGTGTGTTGGGCTTTGGGGTGTTCTTGATGCTTGTTGCTGACAGAGCAGGTGGGAGTACGAGGGGGATGAAAGAAGGGCAAGTAGGTCAAAGTGCTTCTCTGGAGGGTTCATCTTCACCCCCCCCCCCCCTCCAACACATACACACGCTCGTGCACTCCTTATTCTTCTCTTTCATTTTGACCCCTGACAGTTTGAGTGTATTGACCTTGGGGGTGATCTGGTTTCAACACTACGCCTCTCTCACAATTCAATCAATGATCAAACCAGCTTGACTTTAAAATCTGTCGCTCGCAGTATGGTTTATCTTCTGCAACGACACACAAAGATACAACATTGCAATCGAAAGGACAAACTCTTAAATACTATCATTTAAACAGAAACAACTACTGTAGCTGTGCTCTGTTCAAAGTTAAACATTTGTATATTTGTTCACTTTGAATGAGCAGGAATGAAAAAAGGACCATTTGTCATTTTAGGAACAACAGTGACTGCGTGCAGCTTCCTCAAGTCTTGTCGTCACAGTTAGAAACAAAAGCCAAAATGAAATAAGCTGGAGATGCAGCACAGAAGTGTGGAAAGTGTCCAACAAGATCACAAACTGGTGTTTTAAGTTTTTGGTTTGTTTATGGACTTATGTAACTTTAACAAATTTCAGTAGCATTGGTAGCTGTGTTCTCTTGCCTTGGACAAAGCCGGGCTATCTGATTCTCTGCTTCTAGTCTTTATGTTAAGCTTTGCTAATAGTTAACCAGATCACGGGTTTAGCCAGGAACAGTGTATTGTTTTTATTCCTGTTTGTGTGTGTGTGTATGTACAAAAGAACCCAACAATGCATGGGCAGATCCCTTGATGCTTTTCATGTAATATTGCATTGTCCTGACCTTACTGCAAAGTGCCTTATGGTAATTTATGGATTTGGATCTCTATAAATACATTTAAATTAAATCAACAGAGATTTATATAGATCTGAAAAATGAAAGTAAACAAATAAGGAAACAGATTAACACATTTCTCTTTAAATATGGGAAAGTAAAACATAAAATCAAAAAATATCTAATATTCATCAGGGTTTGAATGAAATGCTGTTAAAGTAATACAAACATATGTTTCTTTAAAGCTACATGAATGTAGTTCAATATGATAAAAGCTCATTCATAAAATAATGGCAATTTGTTACTATTTTAAAGACTGTTCTCATACAGCTTCATTATAACAAGCTATTTAAATCATATGTTACATATGTAGTAGGGTTGAATTGACTATATCAATAAAGATATCAATTGGAGAAACAACCTTTTTCTGAAAATGCATTTGCTGATTAGATGTGAGAAGAACGATCCGTTGACCTTTAACCCCCCCCCCCCCCAGCTGCCCCCAGGTTAATAATAGTAACTGATAAAGGACAGCTTTATTTGCCACTATTGTAAGATCGTGTTAGCGCGTGAGTGCGTGTATGCATGTGTGGGTTGTGAGTTCAACCTCCCTCTGGAAGAATTATGTCCTAAAAAAGAAGCAGATGTGAGAGAGTTGTTTGTGTATGAGTGAAAGAGGCAGGGATAGAGAGAGAGACAAAGTAAGTGGGGATTAGGGAGAGGGAGCGAGTGCTGTAACAAGCATAATTGAATGCATGTTTTTTGTTTGTGGTCATGTCAGTCTAAGTTAAGTGTGTGTGCGTGTGTTCGTGCTCGCATGAAAACATGACCTCATCTGAACCGGCCAAAATATCTTTGTCTGCAGTGAATTTCAGTTTGAAAGTCGCGTTTTTATCCAGCAGAGAATATCGACAACATTACAGACTCCCACTCTAAAGCTTTATATATTTAAAGGGTTCAAATCTTTACGACTTTCAAACTCCCTAGAATTTGGACATTGGAATTTACCCGTTTTCTCTATCATTATTTGAGTTTTGCTGTTGAAATTGTCTTGTTTCACGTTGTTGGAAGCTGTCGCAGGATTATGACGTACGACAACAACAACTTCTGTCGGTGGAAAGTCCGCCCGTAAATTTCAAATGTTTATTTTAACCTTTGTATTGATACGTTTAGGTAAAACAAACATGGTGAGTGGCCATCTTTAAATGTAGAAATAAACTTGTTCATTGCAGTTTATGCTGTGATGCATTGCTCTGTTCGTATTACATGTATACAGGTTGGGCGGTTCCTGTTGCGCTCTCTTGTCTCTACGCCGTGAGCGCAATGCATGATGGTATATATTGCTAAATTAGTGAACACTATTTCAGGCATAAAAATGTATCATAAAACATTCGGGAACCACTACAAAATGGCGAACTCACTATATAATGGACTATATAGTGATTAGTGAGAGAAAAAGCAATTGTCATCCTTCATTTCTCACAGAATTGGGACTGATATTAGTGTAAACTGATGCAGATTCAAATAAAAATCTGGATCAAGTGCATTTAAATGTGATCTTAACACATCATATTTTGCACAGTGCTGTACTGTGAGAGCAATAATTGATACTTATGCTGTTCTTATTTATTAATTCAGAGCAGAAATCCCTCTGTCAGCATTTGTTCAGCATTACATTTAATAGGCAGTCCCTTCAAAGTTTCCAAACCATTAAAATGACAATCCCTGGATGTGTCTCACTGTGGGAAACGACCACTATGTGAACTGACACCACATTTCTCTCATGATCGTCAGCCCCTGTTGAAACCCCAGTGCGTAGAGAAGCCTTCAATCTGAATCTGTTTAACCAGACCGCACGACTCCAGCCTTACAATCACCCGACATCACTTCAACATTTCTTCCACCTCAGATACGTGCACTCTTGACTGTGCATCTATGTGCTACATTTCACTAAAATCAGACTTTTTGTCCGAAACAAGGTTGTTGTTTCTGCTTCACTGCTTCCATGGAGATCTTCCATTCAAGATTCAAGGCTGCTTATGAAACTGTGTTTTTATACTTCAGGGACCACAAACCAGCAGAACCTACATGATGATGATGATGTGATGGAGAAAGAGGGAGAAAGAGAGAAAAAAAAAAGAGGACACGAGTGGCAGATGGGATGATATACGTGTGTGTGTGTGTCCTTCTAAAGCCTCGACATTTCTCATTTCATGACAGTTCAGACATGAACTCTGGATAATATGGGGACAATAGGATCTGGACATTATGTGTACTCTGCCCTGCCTTTCAAGCGTGATACGTTTGTAACAGGAGCGCTGAGCTGAGGGGTTGGTTGAGCAAGCAGGAGGCAGGACCTAATATTTACATTCTTCTGCAGAAATCACATGTTTTTGTTTACACACCAGCATCAGCATTTATGACCAAAAACTCTTGAAACTCTGGAGCAACTGACATTTGGGGTCTCACATACAGCCGCTCTACATGTCTGAAAACAGCTTAAATGAGTGCACGTAAGGGTGTGACTGAGTTTTTGAGCGTGTGGGGCGGCTGGCGTGTCTGTACGTATATCTCTGTGGATGTGTGGACACATTTTGGCTCGAAACCATCAGTGTAAATTCCTCACAACTTCAGTTTGACGGCGAAGACCTGGTTTTAAGGTTCAGGTTAGAATTAGGTGAGGTTAGTTTAGATTAGGGTTAGGTTAGGCATTCATGGTTAGGGGAGAGGAGCTAGGGAATGCATAATGACAATAAGTGTCCTTGTAATTAATTCTTGTATAAGTTTATGAAGATCCAAAATTAAATGTGTGTGTCTCCATGTGTTTATAATGTTTGATTTTTCAGATGAGACACATACTTGAGTGTGGAAGTGGATGCCTCACCTTGTTTGTGTGTTTGTGTGTGCGCGTGCACAATCAGTATTGTACACAGACATATAAAATGCGCATAAAACAATGTGAGTGTAAATCAATATTAGGGTGAGTGCATTATGCTGTGCACTAACTGACTCGAATAATGCACAATAATCTTAGTGTGTATGCTGCAGAGTGCATTTGTGCAAGTGTTTGTGTGTGTGTGTACTACTGCAGAACCTGATACTGCTTCCAGGAAGTCCATCTGCGTCATCTGAGGGACTCCCCGGCTCTCTGATTGTATCTTTAGCTCTGCATTAGTCTGCTCAGGATTACATTGATTTCAGCTGTGTTGTGAGAAACACCCCCCCCACCCCCCCTCCCTCCCTCTCGGCCTGTTTACATTGGTACAGCCCTCTGCTGGCCGGGGGTGTCCTTATCAATGCCTTCACTGTGCTGCATCCAAAATGCAATCTTGAAGGGGGTGAAAAAATCCTGCAGGATTTATCCTATCATTCGCTGAGTTTGGTTTTGATTTCACTTGATCCCATCACATATTTCTTAGATTTTTGAAAAATGAATTTGTTTGCGTGTGTGTGTGAACTTGCAAAGCTTTCTCGTCGTGAAAAGATGTTGTGGCTCAGAGTGAGTCACCTTGGAACGTCGGCTACTGAAAACCCTGAAGATGAGAATCACACCCAAAATTTCAAGTTGCTTTTTTTTATCGTCCACAGTCAAACATCAAGGATATGTTGTTCCAAATATTACACAAGGGCAACTCACAATGGCAGCGTAGCTGAGCATTGCTTCAATTTATACGCTTCAGTTGATATCGCAGACATATCGGTCATGTCTGGGCATGTTAAGGTGCAGAACTGGGCGACAAATGCACACACACATGCACGCACACATGCACACACACATGCACACACACATGCACACACATGCAGGGAAGAAGACACTCTGCAAACAAAATCTCTCATCCTTCATACTTCATCCTCAGCCATAAAAACAATAAAGGGATACACTAGTTGGTGAAAAGTGCATTCATCCGTCTATACACAAGGTAAACTGACCCCCTTGTTATACTATGGGGGGATCAACCCACAATGGGCCAACCCCCTCCTACACAAAGCTGGACTCACATCCGCCAAAGAAACAAAAAGGACCCAGCTCACACTGGTGCTGCATGATCCAGATCTCCTGGGCTCTCTCCTGCTGGTGGCCAGGGTGGACATGCCACTAACACTTTATCATAACTTTTGTCTCTCGCTGATACTTAGCATCCCCCCCGTCTTTTGTCTCCTATCCTTCCATCCAACGCCCCCACTCCTTAATACACCTCACCCCCGTAGACCCAAACTAACACCCCACTTCCTCCTCCACACACACATACACTTACTCCTACTACTATCACTACTGTCTTTACGTGTAATGTCTCTCTCTTGCAATACAAAAAAAAAAAGATTTGTCAACCTGAGGACCCGTGTTATCTTACTATATCAAGCCTGTTTTGTTTAGAGTGTGGTTTGTCTTGTTCCTCTTCTAGTCGTGGTTTTACACACACACAGCCCCCCTTGAGTCCAGCAGATAATGGAAATGGACAGAGAGGAGACGAGTGTAGAAAGGTCAGCCAGTGGGTGGGAGCAGCAGGAGAAACACCCCCACTGAACACAACATCTCTCCATCCGTGGGTCCTTAACATGTCGTCAGAAGCCCCCTGCCCTTCTTAAACTCAACATTCACACACCAGAGAAGACGCTCGCCTCCTGGTGACTCATGACGAGCGCCATCAAAAACTACTGTACGTAGGTGTGAGGCTGTGGTTTGTGGAGAAGAGCAGAATTGGTTGCATAATGCCAACAGCTGCATTTGTGCAGCTACTACAGAGCAACAGTTTCTTTATCGAATCAGACCTGCGGTTGTCCTGAGTGTAGGTGGTGGAGATGCATGCATGAGAATCGGAATACAGATGAGATGGACTGAGTGGCTCGTACTTTGTTCAAACGTTGGGTCCCTCTCAAGTTCGAGTGCAGCGATTGGATCAGTGGTGAATGGCAATGAGCACCGGACATGATGAGAACAGTCCAAACCTGAAACGTGTGTCTCTGCGTTTTTTTCCCCCAGGACCCGAGGTTCAATGCTGAGGTCGACCTGATCACGGGTTACAAAACCCAGAGTATCCTGTGTCTGCCCATCAAGAACCACAGAGACGAGGTGAGACAACACAGCGTCGTCCCGTCAGGCAGTTGACAGAGTTCAATCCTGCATAAAAAGAACGAGAGGATATTTGTGCTTTAAACAAAAACCACGTGATCATAAGTGTCATGACTTTGTACGAGAAACTGAATGTGTCTGTTCTGAAGAAAGAAGGAAACAGACTTGCAGAAGTTGCCTCTTCAGTGGAAGAGGAAATGTCTGGAAGGGGTCGACTGTAAGATTATTGTTGGTTACTTCTGCGTGATATTAAAAGGGATTTTGTAGTTTCTCAAGAAGAGGTTGGTTAGAAATAGTTGCTTCCTAAAAATAGTACTGTTTTTTCTCTATTTTCGTAATGTACTGACTTAACCGATTTAACATTATTCTCTAAGATTTTTCTTCTTCTTCATATACTTGCCTTTAGGGATTAAATACCCTCACTCCAGTAAATAATTTTAATTTCAGTTCACCATCTACTTTATGAAGGGGGAATTATACTGTTATTGTGATACTGTTAAAAGATCTAGCACTTTAACTAAAAGCACACTGGAGCACACACTGCACATTATCACTACAATGTCCAGTGATGTCATCATTTTTTGAGACTTACATCAGTAAGGTGGACAGAAACCCAGAACCTTGTAGGGCCCAATGTTTTCTGCAGTACTCAGGTTGTTGTCCCCTTTTCCCAAGCTGATGTCAAGCCTTGCTTTTAGCACACAGACCTGTAAAGCAGCCTGGACTGGGCTCCAGCTCCTTTTTTTTCCATATCAGATCTGTGTCGAGAAACAAATTCTCCCTTTGATCGCCCATCACAGGTCGTCGGAGTGGCTCAGGCTATCAATAAGAAGTGTGGGGAGGATGGTGCCTTCACTGAACAGGATGAAAAGGTTGGTAAAACTCACGGTTTCACTCACAAGTATGAGTCATGTATCAAAGTTCAGAAACTTTAAAAAGCCAGGAGAGATACAGTATATGTTGGGACAGTACTGTATTAGTACTGTAATAGTATTGTATCAGGACTCTATTGTACATACAGAGAAAACTGTCTTGCTTTACCTCAGTGCATCTTCCTTGTTCCTCATATCTGCCATTTCTCCATCTACACTTCTTTTCTCCCTCCTCTTCATTTTCCTCTTGTAGTGCATTCTTCTTCCCGTCTTTTCTACATGGTGCTCACATGCTGTGCTCTTCCTCCCTCACAGGACTTCTCCGCCTATTTGGCCTTTTCAGGCATCGTCCTGCACAACGCTCAGCTCTACGAGACGTCGCAGCTGGAGAACAGGCGCAATCAGGTGGGTGTGAATGTTCATGTCCAGGTAATGATGGATATGTGGCACATTTAATTAAAGTTTACAGAACATGATGGGAAACCTGTTTCTTATTAGAATTTGAATTATATACTCAACAAATAAAAATACATTTTTCCCCTTTCCTTAAAAAAACTTAAGTCAAACTTTAAATTGAGTCCAGGTTGTGCTGCAGGCTAAGAGCACAGTCACACGTAAATGAAAGCAGACGAGAGTTACGGGTCAAAGTTCAAAGTTGATTTCCACACGAAGCCGGGTGATGATTTGCCACAGGAAGCAAATGTGTTATTTAAATTGAACGAGAGGCGAAAGCTGTGTCTCAATTCAGAGGGTGTATCCTTTGGAGACCTATTGCGTCAAGTGTCAGGCTTCAACTGAACCGAACAGCTAACAGCAATAAGGGCAGGACGAGCTGATGATGCAGATCACGGAAAGCCTCTGTAGACTAGACCATCTTATTTCCAGTCTGCCTTGGTTGTCTGCCCAAGGCGGTCTTTGTGGGCCAGGTAGACTACGTCCTCCGAAGGATGCAGCCCCTGAATTGAGACACAACTGCGGGTTCACGTCTGCACAGACACAAATCTATACATGATGTATTTGTACAGGTGCTGTTGGATTTGGCCAGTCTGATCTTTGAGGAGCAGCAGTGTCTTGAGGTTTTACTGAAGAAGATCGCAGGAACCATTCTGTCCTTCATGCAGGCACATGCCTGTACTGTCTTCACTGCTGACGAAGACTCAATGGTCAGTAAACACACCCACACACACTCAGAGTGTCTAGTGCGACAGATATAATAACTATGTCCAAATTTTATGATGTTGTTTTTTGTAAACCCATAAATGGTTCCATACCTGAGTTTGAATTTAACATTTGATGGATGACTTGCAAACAGTGCTCCAGGTCGATGCTCCATTTATGATCATAAAACATCCAGGTCTTATTCATAGCTTGTGTCAATGATTGTCACAGGAGCAAACAGAGGAGTTTATTTCTGGTATCCATTAGCTGTTATGCGATGGCTTATGTGACACTGACCTGTGACCTCGGACGTGCTCAACAGTGTCTCAGAGCTCCTGTCGTCTGAATGATCCCGTTGAAATGCTGTGATTGAGGCTGTTAACATTTACCCATGTTCAACATCTTCATTAAATCATCCTCAGAACAGGGGCGGATCCAGGGCCGGGGGGGGGCCACTGGCCCAGCTGAAATGTGATTGGCCCCTGAAGTGCCCCTGTTCAAAAACAAAAAACTCTCTTAATACCAATACTAACAATACATGGGCTGTTTACCTGTGGGCAACTAAAGCCTGCTGAAAATCTTGTCCCTCGCCCACAGATCCTTATATATACAGTACATATACTACTAGTTATACATTTACCTCATTCACACAGTACAACTGCTGTTTAAACACTAAATGGTTCGGCCATTTGTTGTTTTCATAGTGTAGCGTTCTCCGTGTGTGATGCACTTGCTGAGTAGCTCCACTTTCTTTTTCCATCAGACTCTTGGAAATCTCTAAATCTATTCAGAATGACTGAATTAACTACAAATTGTGAATTCGATGTGAATTACATTTCCAGTTGCGTCGGCCAGGCCAAGTTCATTCGTGACATTAATGGTTGCTGCTGGTAACACAGATGATATATGTATTGACCAGCGGGGGCAGTTTTTCACCCCTCACAATATTGTAATTATTGTGAGCAGTAAATAGAGTTGGATTGTTGGATTGTTTTGCAAAAAGTAGTGAGTGCGCTTATAGACCTTTTTTTATTCCATTGTGATAATGTCTGAGGGCAAAAGACAAACTGATCTTTCTGTATCTGGACCCTGGTGGAGGCTAAATGCATGGTAGTGAATTATATAATAAACAGGACAGGATTTTAGAGAAATGATGAACTGATAATAAGCCTGTATGTTTATATAAAAGGATGAATAATTGATGATTCAGTAGCAGAAACAAAGACAAAGTGATGAACATTCCTCATGTGCATACACTCTGCACAGAGCCACGAGAGAATCGGTTGTCAAGACCAAAATGGAAAAATGACAAATGCACCGACGGGTGTGAATTGAAATGAGACGGTGTGAAGGAAGTGAATGATGATGATGTGAGGGAACGTAAACAAAACAGTCCCATCAGGTTTTTACTGCTCAGGGTGTATTTTTGTTTGCTTGTATAGGAATTTGAATAGAGTATGGGTACACTATCATACAATTTTCGACGACATGTTCTCATCTGTCGCCGAAATTCAAACACACATTCATTCGGTGCATCTATGTGCAGCAGTTTCTCCGTCATACATCACTCATACACTGCCGTCACAGCCATCAATACCAAAAGACAGAGTTTAGGGAGGTTTTGCGGTAGCGTGGGATCATGGGAGCGTTCATCAGGAAGTTTTTATCTTCTCCTCTCCAAACCAAGCAGACACGCTGATTAAACCCAGTGAAAACACTAATTAAAAGTGCTTCACGTTAGGAGCACGCTGACTCTGAGTGACTGACACAGGGCGTCTCTGAGGGGCTGGGAGCTGGCTGCCGCTAATGTTTGCTCAGCTTGTTTCTGTGATAACTTCAGATCCAGATGTCTGATGACTAAAAATCCTTCATCTGTTTCAAATGAAAATATAATATAAAAATGTGGCTTAAGATAAAAGCAGCCACTGACAGGTGAAGACCCTGGAGGCTGAAGGGAGAGGCAGCTTTTACTGCAGCAGTAAATGCTCTCTCTCTCTCTCTCTCCCTCTCTCTCTCTCTCCCATCATACCGTAGTTATTTAGGACGAAGCTTGAGTTTGACACATCTGTTGATACTTTTCCACGTTTAAAAGGATGTGTATCTGTATATATGACAGCAGGTAAATGCGTCTCTACCATAGGCTGTAAATAAAGACTGACAACATGACGGCTCCTGAAAGTGAAGCCAAAATATCTGGATTACCCGGTTGTGGCTGACTGTAGCAACAAGCACATGGTTTCTGTTATTTTAGGTAGTTCTCATCCCACTGATGTATGTCCAAGTGCTTCCACTGTAACTTTTCCTGAAAGTTTAGATTTAATTAGCTGTTTGTTGCTGTAAAGATTGGGTAAAATGTTGTGATTGACAGGTGAGATTGACTCCATACTGCGGTTCCACACCACAATCACTTGTGCGCGGACTCCAAATGAAAATCCAAGATTGCGGCACCTGTATTTGAAAAGCACATTTTAACTTCAAGTCAGTTTGCAAGAAAACTAATGCAACAAAAGATTTCACGATAAAATGACAAATTGTTATAATAGTTGCGAACACCCCAAATATATTGCACCAGACTCATTTGATGAGTCATAATGGGTTGAAAAACAGCTGATTCAAAATAACATCTGTTTAAATATCTTCGCTGCAGAGGAGTATGACAACCTGCAGCTGTTTTGTTTCAATGGGTGAAAAGTTTAACGGCAGGAAATGAAAAGCAGCTTCTGCCAACACGATGAATTATTTCAGAGAGACGTCTAACAATTGTGACGACCAGTGGAAATGCAGAGTTTCTCTTCTGGAAATCAAGGGTTAGATTATAAACAAAGCAGAGGGAACTGTCGCTGACTGTGTCTCGAAGTAAATACAGTTTATACTTCTGACTCCTACACACACACACACACACACACACACACACTGCATTAGTCCTCTTTGTGCATTAACATTTGTTTTGGCTTGTCCTCCTCAGGGGCATCCATCGGCTGAACATCGCACACTGACACATCTCACTCGCATGCACAGAAAACAAGCACACTGGAAAAATGAAGCAAATTAACTGTCACACACTACGGAAGATTTATATACGAGCTTGGTTATAGCACTCCCATGTCTCTGGATGTGTGAGACATCTAAATATCAACTCCCAGCTGCACAGAAACTCATTGTGGAACTCACTTTACCATTATTTTTATCTACACGTTGTAAACATCAGGGAATGAATGAAAGAGCTTCTTCTGCTTTTCCACTCCTAGGACAGGCCACACGAGTGAGTATAGGTGGTGCATTTACATGTTGTCTTAAATTATGTTTGCACAGTAATTTAAGGGAAACTTAAACTGTGTCAAATATTGCAAGGTATAGCATCCAGGTTCTCCTCCCTCTCTTGCCTGGAGGCGGTCTGATCTTTGTTGGTCATCTATGTGTCGGTCTGTATGACAGTGTATTGTATGATTAATAGATAATGCATCAACAGTGTTTACATAGAGAGGTACACACGGCCAATGAACGGTATGTTGCTGAGTTGCTAATAGAATATTCCATCCACATTCCCCTTCATGTGTTACAGAGCAGAGCCTGATTATGCGGTCGATCATGCTGGTACCTTCCATACATGTCAAGGTTGTTAAATACTGTGAAAACTCCAAAAGGGCATTGTAATGTGATTAGGATGTATGTGTACTAAGCTAAGATAGGAATACTACACCTGTATATTACGCAAGAAATTTGGTTAAATCTCCCACTAGGACAATATATTGGGAATAAGATGTATATATGTCAACTTAATGGCACTAAGCACTGAATATATATATATATTTATATACTTATATATATATACACTATTGGCTTCATTGGGTTAATATCTGAATACTGGTGTCCATGTTAACATAGTCAGTGAGTAATGGAAAGAAACGGAGAAAAGCAGATTGACTAGATGTTATTCTGTGGGAGAGTTTGGACAGCAACTCTACAGCCCATGCTAAGTCTTATTTAAGTCAAAAAAGAAATTAAAAAAAGCTCTTTGAGAACATGCTCTTATTGAAGCATGACGGTTTAGCTTGGCACCAATAGTCTGACAATACAACTGATCCTCGCACTCGCTTTTTCAAGAGCTTTCAAACACCTCTCTCAGATTTCATCAACAAATGATGGTGACTTGACTGACTTTGAATTGGCTCAGTTGTCCAAGTGGTCCATGTTAATAACCAGCAAATTGACTATATTTATTTCATGTATATCCAACAGACTTTATCAGTGGATGACGACAACTGACCAATCAAATTATGGTAGGCTGAATTTCTTGTGAAAGTGGTAAATGCAAGCGAATTAGGATTCTTTAGTTTTTAGTAATGTTTTTTTTTTTTGATGTGAATTGTTAGGTCCATTCCCAGACTTGTAGAATTTGATAAAGACATAAAAACCTGTTTAAATAAGAAATTGGTTAATATATTTATACATTTTACAGTTTATTTGAGTGATTCAAATCAATCAAGAGTCCCACTTTATCTAAGGGTTGGTCAGAAGAGAGGAAAGCCTCTCCCTGCCCAACCCTTCCCTGTGCTTGTTGTGTTTATGGAGCGAGTGGAGTGGGTGTGCATGGCGGTCAGGGTGACGGCAGCAAGTTAAGAGCTGTGCCATAATTTTGGACCACAAACAGCAGCTCTCTAGACGGAAGGTGGTGATTCAGGGGCGATTTTTAAAACGAGGAAAATGACAGCACTAATGTACAACATATGCAATGAGACTGTCCACCCAGAGAACAGAGGGTTCCACTTGGTTGGAGCAGGATCAATCAGCAAAAAACCTCAGATTTTGTTGTATGCCACAGCTGACTTTTTCTCTCCGACTTTTCTTGGCCGTGCAGCCCCTGGATCTTTGCACAGTTGCTTCGGAGGAAACTGTTGTTTAATCTGTTTCAGTTGGTCTCAGTTATGATGAGGCCAGAGATGTGTGCGTCAGAAGTGTTTTACCTCCTGAAGAGAAAAGCTGCCGGTACAAAGAAGAAACAGCT